TATATATATATATATATATATATATGTATATGTATAATTGCAAGTATATTAAATATAAAGATTATACACACTTGACATATTGACAGGTGTAAAATGAAACAAAATTATAGTAAGATTATTCTAGTGGGAATTATATACGCAAATCTCTAGCGACTTTTGACGATGCAGCACGTTGGAAAAAGCCAATTTTACAAATCGTCTCATGTGTATTTCATATATTTAATCATCGTATTCATAATTTGCAAGAAAAGCAAGAGAATCGATTACATTATATAATCACAGCTAACGCACGATATGTATTACGAGAAATTGGCTCGCACTAACCTTTGCAGATATTGATCAGACTTAGCTTTGAAGGCAGCGAACGCCGCTTTTTCCGTCTCCGGAACTCTTTCGGCGAGTGCCGCCCAATTAATCGCTTTGATTGCTCTACGTGACATTTTCTCGTGATATTGTGCCTTCCTCAAAGGAAGACAGCCAAATAGGCTGGTCAAGGTTGAACCAGTAATGCTAGACGGGAGCTACAACTGCACCGAAAGATAAATGGTGGGGATATACATATAGGGCGGGTTTCACTTAACGCTCGCAACGACGCGAGCGTCATTTTATCTTTATTTCTTGCTGGATGTTGAAGATAGTATGACGCCGCGTTATTGCGTTATTGTTAAGTGGCACTTGCCCGTAAGGTGCATTCCATTATATGCTCGCAACGTCTAAATCGACAGTTCCTCTAGAGAGAAAGCCCGCGGATGCATACTTTTGTAATTAATTTTATTGCCGGTATTCATAGTCAGATCATATATTTAAGTCAGTCTTATTTAACTTCTGATACTCTACGACTTATTTTATTGGCTACGAAAAATCTGTAAATAAGCTTAAGGCAGTTTTAAATATAAGACCCGACTATGAATACCGACCTAAGTTTTGGCCTACAATAGTGTCGATCTACAAATAGGTCTTTTAAGCCGTAAGCCGTAAGAAATTTACCAATCACGGTCAAATGTAAAGAGAATAATTAAGTATGATTAGTTAATTTCTTAAGGATTTAAGACTTAAGATATCTATTGTCGATCGACACATAGGTGCTTTAAGCTTTAAGAAATTGACCAATCACAGTCAAATGTGAAGAGAATAATTAACTATGATTGATCCATTTCTTAAGGATTAAAACATTTATTGTAGACTTGGATGTCGATCATGTAATTTGTCCCTAGAACGGAAACGCGAGAAATGAAAATTCCACATGTTCTCAAATAAAAAATTTATATTTTTTACGAATTCACGCTACAGGAGAAAATTCATGATCAACTCCCAGGTGGTCACGAATCTTCTCCACTAGCGTGAATTCATGAAACGTGTAAATTTTCTAATTTGAAAACATGTCGAATTTTCACTTTTCATGTTTACATCTTATGGCTTCTGTCCACAGGCAACACTTGCCGCGCGGCGGAAGTTCGCGCAATAATCAATAAACTAGTTCTTATCAAAAAAACGGCATGTTGATTGGCTACCGCACGAACTTCCGCCGCGCGACAAGCGCGTCCTGTGGGCAGAAGCCATTATGTTTTAAAATAAGGTTGTAAATAAGGATTTATTATTGAGGTTGAATTAACATTTAAGCAATCGGTTGCATCAGTGCGATAGCACATATCCATTCACATCGGCCAGTGCCTAGAGTCTTTCCACTGGACCACCAATAAAAAAGTCTTATATTAAATTAGCCAATCACTGATGTGGGCTTTCGTCCAATCCTACCGTCCGTGTGATTACGTCTTTACGACTAGAAATATCAGCGACGCCTAGTCGATGTTCTTGAGCGGCGCAAGTGCATCGTGATCATCTCTCTTTCAAAAAAGTCAAGATGTCGAAGAGAGGTAAGTTGTGTTCAGATCTGAGAAAAATCCAAAGAAATCGATGTGCAAACTTTATATTAGTTATGAACGAAACGATGTAAAAGAAAGTAATACGTTCGGCCTGTCCCACGAAATCACACGTTATTGTATTAACGGTGATTACAACACAAGTATGGTTATGCTAATACTGCCAGTTTAACATTGTTTTTCTAGGACGTGGTGGGTCAGCTGGAGCCAAATTCAGGATATCCCTTGGTCTCCCGGTGGGTGCGGTGATTAATTGCGCAGATAATACTGGTAAGTCTAAATAATAAGATACTTAACCTCAAAAAATACAACCGTGCTATAAAGCACATGGCGAATCATTTCGAAGGATCGTCAAGCACGATATTTTCTAATTATCTTGTGTTTTTTCATGTGTGTTTTGCTCTCTTGATTATTTCCATTAAACTATAGATTGGAACGTGCATAACTGATTTTTAAGAGATTTAGATTCTAATCAGGTATGTTCATATGTTACAAATGGTATTATTATTTATAACTATTGCATATATTAAGAGTTTCTTGTGTGTATATGTAGTACATGGGTTTGTAATATTACTGTTTTTTGTTTAGACATTTATGTTAGAAGAAATTTATACAACTTTAATTCATACATATAATTTTAATTGTATATATGTATCTAAAATCCAAAGAATCACGCAGAGACATTATTTTGTATGTAGCAAATACAATTGTTTTCTGACTTCTACAACAGATCATATATTCTTCCAGGTGCCAAAAACTTGTATGTCATCGCAGTGCAAGGAATCAAGGGCAGGCTGAATCGCTTGCCAGCTGCTGGTTCCGGTGATATGATCGTAGCCACTGTGAAGAAGGGAAAGCCTGAGCTCAGGAAAAAGGGTAAATCTTGTTTTTGTACATCAAAATTCCATTCTTTCTTCACCTTATTCAGCGAGGAATTTCAAATAACATAATCGATGTGGTTTACAGTGATGCCTGCAGTGGTAATACGACAACGGAAACCATTCCGTAGGAAGGATGGGGTGTTTATATACTTCGAAGACAATGCCGGTGTAATAGTCAACAACAAAGGTGAAATGAAAGGATCGGCTATTACGGGACCTGTCGCGAAAGAATGTGCAGATTTGTGGCCAAGGATTGCGTCCAACGCCAGCAGCATAGCATAATCCATCCTGTATAATTTGTCCTTTATAAAATAAATCTGGACGTTTGTTCAGTGTACGTCTTTATATTCAGCATATCCCTCAAGAATATAACAGGAGAGTTAATATATATTGAGTATAATTGGAACATGTCTATCAGGAACTGAAAAGAGAAATGGTGCGCAAGCAGCGATAAAATCAATAAATTCTCGCAACGAAATTTCCCCCCAACATTATATCGTAGTATGCATGTACACACATAATTATTTGCTTATTGGAAGCGATTAGCACGAGCGAGCGAGAACAACATTCTCACTAAGAACCAAGAGCAATTTAATCGTAATAATCTTATATATGAGGATCGAGCAAACGCAAAAAAGTCCTACTCGCGACATTCGCCAGGTTAAATTGTGATTTCAGATTGCAACGTCAGCAAATATACTCGTTGCAAGAACGGTTATACGTAGGAAGAGAGAGGGAGAGAAACAGTATAACATTCTCCGTAAAACTGGCAGATCGCGATTCTAAAAGGACTGAGCAAAGATACATATTCTTAGGTCTGTCGTGTCATTGTCGCGCCACGAATTTCTCTTCCCCTTTCACCCGCGCATACTCACAAATACAAGTGCATATGCGTGCGCTAGACGAGCATTGCGTCGCGCGATCGCGGTTGGCCAGTCAGACAGCCAGGCGGTAGTCCACCTGGGTCCATTATCGGCAGTCCATGCGCGAACCTTGTCACTCCGTCCGCTACGTTCAGAGTGTGTACTTGTTGCTCGCGCGTGCTGCTGCGATTCACAGGCGTGCTACCGAGCGCTAGTTAGCTAGCTGAGACCAGCCAGTTCGCCGGACAGTTAGACAGACTGACGGACGACGGAAGGAGCCAAGGTGGGAAGAGAGAAGAGCTGCCGCCGGTCGACGACAGGGAAGGAAGAGAGCGGAGAGAAAGGGAACGAACGAACGAACGCACGCACGAACGCACGCACGCACGAGACGCGCACCGGTGTTGCACCCGCCTACGTCGCTCCTCGCCCAATTCTTGTTGCTCGCGTGGCGACTTCGTGAGCTAAGCCGGTGAGAGAGAGCGCGTTCCAATTACGACTATATCGCGTATATCGCCGCCTTTTAACGATGCCACTGAAACGCGTGCTTAGTCGCCATGCTCGATCGTCGTCGTCATCCTTATCGTCGTCTATGGTGCAACGCGGCGGCCGCGACACGAGAAATTTTCTCTTGGCGGTCTCGCGCGCGCGCCGCCTCACGCGGGGCGAGCTGGCAGTGATTGTCTTTCTAACCTAAATTCTAATTTCTGTCATCGCTTTCGGCATGCGGAAACGCGAAACGTTACCAGAGGATGGAGGCGTTAGCGGGCAGAGAAGGGTGGTAGACAGCGGTTGTCGACTGGTCTTTCCCCTTCTTACTTTTATGAATACTCGCATTATATTTTCATCTTTATATTATAATGTACTATTTTACTGATTTCGTTAGTATATACTATAGCGATTCAGTTAATTTCATTTTACGTACTTTTTCATTGTATAGGCCCAGGCACAAAAAAAATCTGAAAAATGTCTTAAATACATCAAAAAGGCGTTCTATTTTTTTTTTTAGATATCTTCCAGACATCTTTAACTCTTTCCGGTCGTAATAAGCATGCAGTATCTTGTTACCCCGGAAAGAGTTAAGAGATCTTTTAAAAATTTGTTCTATTGGGGAAGGTTTCTACACCAAAGTTAAATGAATTTCTCTCTCTCTTTCTCTCTCGCTCTCGCTCGCTCGCTTGCGCGCATTTTCATAGTCTGTCGATTTTTGGAAAGTTAAAAATACAATTTTTGACGGAGCGACTGTGTGATCCCGCGTGGCGCGACTATTTCAGCGCCGGCCGCGAGTACGACGCAAGCCTTCGCGGAAATCTTTCGCTCTCCCTAGGAATTTCCGCATGATTCCGTTTTTTATTATCACAGGTAAATTTTCGCGCAAGAATAGAGGCGCGGGCAGAGACGGTCGTCGTGAGTCAGTGAACACGCGCTCACCTTAACGTAGTGTTACATATTTATGAGAACAATCGAGCAAGCGCGTGCTTGAATTTAGGAAAAAAGAGGAAGGACAAGGAAAAATCGCGAAAAAGTACAAAAATGGAACGAACTGGACGCTCGGAACGTTGACTTAAACCGCGCTCAATTCGTCGTTCGCTGTTCTTCCTCTTCGATTGGACGTAGAAAATTCGCATGTAAACACAAAGATTTATGATGCACCGCGCGGCAAATATTCCCGTATGACATTCGTTAAGTGTATATTTTATGGCAGATAACGAAAAAAAGATGCATGCAGGGCAAACCGGCCGGCATCAAATTGCTCGGATATGAGTCGGTAAATATGTGCAGCGCAGAATCGTGTGTCACGTATTTATTTTCGTATTATTGGGCCATATTGCTCACGCTTCGTAAAAATGAGAACCGATGATGGTTCTCTTTCCAATCAGAGTTTAGCATCGAGATTTATTATTTTATTACGAAATAGTAACTTTTTCTGCACAATCGTACGATTGGAGGCGATATTTGCAGAGTGCGTTGAACGCTCACACTTACAAGCGTCGCTTTCAGCCGTTCAATTTAATATTTGAGCGGAATTACAGAATATCGTTAATTTTGGCTTTGTAAACGAACATGCGTGTCGGCAATATGTCGCTATGATGCTTAGTTGCAAAACGAGACATTTGTTAATTAAAATTTTAAGGAACAATTTCATTTCGCTTATTTCCGAAACGTATAAATTAATTAACAAATTTTGTGTTGGTTCGACTGTGTTGCTTGATTTATATATATGGTAGTATTGTCTCACAGCTTGACTTTTCCGGAAAGTGCATTCCACTCGAGCGATCGTTAAACATTACTTACAACTTTTCGTAAACTGCTTCAACATGGTCATACGAAAAATATTTTATATAAACGAGAACTACAAGTTATCGGCTAGCGTTTCACACTATTTTCTCTGAGTACATTGCTCTCGGTCTGTATTTATTTATTTTAAAATCGTACAACATGCTTAGAATTTTTCGGAAAATGCTTAAATATGGTCAATACGAAATGTATTTTGTACAAACGAGAACGTTTTTGCCCAGCGTCTCACACTATTCTCTCTGAGTACACCACTCTCAGGCAGTATTTATTTAAAAATCACGCAACATCGTCAATGCCTATTTGAAAAATGCTTATATATGTTCAGAGCTATGCGAGAAATATTTTAGAATGTACAGATACTCTCCAGTATCGATCAGTGTCTTACCTACATAAATGCATCTTTAATGAACTATAAAAATGATTTTAAAAATATTGTATAACATTTAACGCCAGAATTCTTTATAATGTGCTTAAATATTTTCAGAACTATATGAGAAATATTTTACAATTCCTAGTTCTCGCAAATTAACCAGTGTCTCACAAATTCATAAATACGTCTTTCACGGGTGTCAACATTTTTTTTTAAATATTGGTTGATATTTATTTCCAGAACTCTGTAGAATCTGCTTAGGTTGCGTTCGGAAATCCACACTACTAGCATACTAGCCGTTCGAAAATACTCAATGTAATTCGCATCGTTCGGAAATCCTCCGAGAGAAACACCGTACGCCACCAAATCACCCGACGAAAAAGCAGTCGATGTGAGTCGGTGGGTTATTATCTAGTTACTTCTGTCATAACCTCTTCATGTGTAAATTTTATCAATGAGTAAAAAATGTCAGAGAATATCACATTGATACAAAGACGGCGTGAAGCCGTAATGAGTCACCCGATGCTTGGTTCTTATGAGAATTGAGTAGTGAAAAGTGTTCAAATGAATCATCGGCATTGAAATCATATAAACGGAAATTGTAAAATTCCAATTTTCTCGCATATTATGCTTTAATATATACTGAGAATAAGACTTTTGCATAGATCTGAAACAGTATTTTTTTTTAACATTTCATACACAGTGTTCGTCCATTATCGTTACTGGAAGTCATACTGGAGTGTTCGGAAACCGTCGACACACGAAGGCACACCCCTACCACTTTCCCACTGAAATCACGAAAACACGAGTTGGATTCCCGAACACAACCTTAGTTATGTTCAGTACTACGCGAGAAATATTTTAGAATCCCAAGAACTCCTGTAAATCGAGTCTCACCTATGTACCTACAAAGATATTCTTCGGAGGATAAAAATTATTTAAATGTTAGAAAAGCTATGTTTATTGCTAGTACTCTTCCTAGAACTTTTGCAGAGCTCTAAATCTTTTGAAATCTTGTATTAAATATCAGGGAAACATGTACGAGATCTCAGTTTATCCAGATTTTTTCTGCTTTAATGAACAGAACTATTTATTTAACCAATCAGGAATGTAGAACTTTAAAAAGGAAGCTAGAGCTCTGGATAGTACTTTTCTTTACATTTTATAACCACATCCTACGCACAAAGAGAAGATCGTTCCCCGATTATTTTCTCAGTTTATATCCGATCTACTCAATTTAGTCGTTAACAAGTCAATTGATTTGTACCACAATCGCGTCAGTGTATCTCTTCTTGTTCAATTAAAATGATTCGTCACTGTTACTACGTTTGCATTCGTTCACGAGTTACATTAAGTATGTTCTTATTAATTGCCGCAACATTACGTTACGAAAAACAGGCTTATTGTAGATATGAAAGTTGTCGTTAGGAAAAATATAATACAACAAGCAATAATACATAGAACAGTATTTTTATAGATTTACGTTTGCCTTCGAAGAAAAGGTAAAGTTCTGCCTTTTATCTATTTGTTTGCTCATTAAAAGATTGTTCAATTATTATGATTAATACAATACATGTAATCTCGAAAATGTAGCAAATTCGGAAATTGGAAACTAAAGGAATCAAACATTGGTTCTCGAGGAAAATGGAGAAAAGGCTTGTTTTATCTGTTTGTTTACTCGTTAAAATATTGTTAAGTGATTTTAATAATTAATACGTGTCATCTCGAAAATTTGGCAAATTTGTAAATTGAATACCGTAGAGGTCAGATATTGGTCTTCGAAGAAAAACAAAGACACGTTTTATCTTGTTGAGACAATGACTTGTTTACTCATTAAAATATTGCTCAGTCGCCATAATAATTAATACAGTTCGTGTCGTCTCAAAAATTTAACAAATTTGAAGGTTATACATCGTACGTCAAATGGTCTTTGAAGAAAGAGAAAAAAGGCGCTATATATTTGATCATAGGCGACGATTAGAAACGCTTGTTATTGGTTGTTATTCTTACGATTCTTCTTATTGTTATTATGATCACTTCTTATTTGCTCCTTATTCTTATGAGATTTTTTAACCGACCTTGTAATAATTTATTTTTATCGTATGGGTCACACACTAATACGCGAGACACGGAGGCACAGAAGCGGAACGGAAGTAGAGGGAGGTCGAGCAATTTTCTAAATATTCGTTATGGCCCGATTCGTCATTTATAAAGGTGCATTTCTTATCTAGGCGCGCTTAAATTTGCATCGACGTGCGCGAAACAAACGTGGGTGCTAAATAAAATTTAAATAATCATAATGAGGCTTTCGTGGCTTGTGAGTACAGTCATCAAGTGAGTAGTTCCTCAAACGATGCACGGTAATATGCTCGTGTCTCTCCGCGAGTGACGATTACAGTTGACATGATCACAGGCCAAAGATCAGTTGTGTGCGTGTTCATCGCATCTCAAATTTTTTAAATGACACAACTGCCGCAAAAAAAGAATGTCACGCAAAATGCATCGGGCACGTATGGTCGTCATACAAAGAAGTCGAGAAAATATGAAAATGTCCTTATCGCAATTATTATTTGACCGTTCGAGTCATATTATCTACTTATACTCGTTATTATCATGGAACTCGCTACACATAGATAAATGGTTCCTACTGTTCAGTCGAGCCGCTAATAGCATAAAGTTAGTCGAGTTTTTCGTGCGAATAAATGCGGTTGCAGTATAAGAAAACACGCCACAACCCCGGAATCACATAGTTTCAATTCCGAGACGGAATCGCGCAACTCGTTCGGTCGTAAATACAAAATATTCACGTCGTGCATTCTCAAAAGAGTATCCCAGTAAACACCGTTATATAAATGTTATATAACTGTAATATAACTGAATGTTACAGGTAATATTACAAAAAATGTTATCGGTAAGATATTAGTTTCTTGTCATTTCTCACTCATAAATATAACATGTAATATAACATTGTTATATTGTGGCTACATATATTTACTCATATAGCACACTTTCTCCGAAAGATGTCCTGGTGAATATCCTTAAAACGTAGAAACGTTTTTAAGATGCCCCTTGGATGCTGTATGGGTAGAAAACCTTTTTGTTATATTGCTAGAAAGTACATATGTGTAATATTGATATAGCATTTACATGAAAGACAATAGAAAAACACAAAAAGGAAAAATTTATTGTAACTTATTATATTTACTTACGCATTTTACTTTTATTTATTGCACTTTCTCTTCGTAATATAATATTGGTACAATTTTTTTTTCTTAGTCTAATATATAAAATATAATACATGTAAAGAAAATATTTTTTTTATATTTCTACTGGCAATATTTATGAAAACATAATAAACAATTTGTATTAAATGTCTTCAAAGTATAACACAATAAACAATATGTATAGTAAAATATAAGATTTTATTCTTTTCATATTAAATATATATGCTGCTATATATATTTGTATACATACATACGTGTGCACATGCGTATATATATGTGTGTGTGTGTGTGTGTGACATATAATAAATTACATGTATTAATATATTTTAGCCTATATTATAGCACTAGATCAAGAAGAAAAATGATTAAAATATTATTTTTAAATTATTACAACATAACGGACAATTATATGGTAACGTTAATCCGGTTTAGTAATAACCGTACTTAGTTGAACTCTTGATCAGATTGGTATATTATTTTAGATCTAAAAATATACTTCAGTTAAATATAAGAGACCGCTAACTATGGTTGTTACTAAATTGACTTGATGTTGCCGTGTGAAGAAAGTCGTACACTCAGATAGAACAAATGTCTAAAATATATCTTAGTGACACTTTGAAGACATTTAAAACAAATAAAAAATCTTTTAGGCGTCTGTAAGATATCTTTCAGACATTTTTAAGTTGTATGTACATTTTATATTGTATGTACATCTCGTATATGTTATCTCATATTTAAAAAAAAAAAGGTTTTATATCAATTCTACACAATGTGAAAAATATGATATATTATAGAAGTAATAATGTTACATTGAAGTAATATTTAGTATATCAACAATGTAACATTATATTTGTTATACACATGATATGTTGCAGTTATATAAGTAACTTATGCTATATTATGTTATTTTTATGTTATATTGCTGCAATAAACAATGTTTATTAGATATGTTCCACTTTCAGGAGGCTGATCGTCATGTCGCATCACATCGTCACTGTCTGTGTGGTGTGCGTGCTGTGCGCTGCGCACATTCCTTGTTCGGCGCATACGGACGTCTCGGTAGTGCACACGATGATGGACAATTCGACTGGTTCCAGGAGCCCTTCGAATCTCGACACACAGGGCCAACTGTTGTGGACGTTGGAGAGACGCAAGGCGGAGACGGCATATTCCAACAAGCGGGATAGATCGAATAATATCAGTAGCAGTAATAAGCGCAACGCCGTACGATACAACGACACGCAACTCGTTATTAGCGATAATCATAATGATAGTGACCTTCGAGCAAACGTCGATGCAATAGTGAGCGATAACGATACCTACGTTAGGAAGAAGATAGCGAAGAATTTTAAAGGCGGTGGGAGAACGCGGGACACTAGAATGCAGCAGCAGTCATGGACAACTGAGAACGACTCGAGGGATACGGAGCTCTTGAAGAGGCTCGCGCAGACCGAATTAAATTACAAGTTTCAACGATTCAACGAAGACTCTCGTGCCATTAATAGCTCGAGACTGAAAAGAGATGTAGCTGTAGACGAGAGGTACTTCATGAAAAAGATTTTTGAGGCTTACGGGGATGGAAAGAGCATAACTATGGGCGGTTTTGAAACACTCGTTCGCAAACTGGGTCTATTAAGATTACTGAACGACGAGTCTATATTGGAAGATGATGGTGTCGATAGAAGTATACGTAAGAATCAATTAGGTAATGAAAAACAATCACTTAGAAATTAGTGTTTGTAATTATCGTTGATTTCTCTGTAATCGATGATAATTGTAAACGATAATTTATATACTTCGGACATTTTTTATTTGGAATCTTAAAATCATAAAGAAAAATCATAAAGAAATTTTTCTCCTATTTGAGTCTCAGAAACCCATCATCCGATTGTGATGGTTGGGCACATAGTGAGTCACATATACAGTGTTTATTATTTGGAAAAAAACTGGAAAACCTGGAATTCCTAGAGAATTTGTTTGTGCCTGAAAAAATTAGAAAATTCTTATAAGAAATTTTATTGGAAAACAGATAATTTTAAATGGACATTTTTGTCTGCAAGCTATATTATCGCGTTATTTGTAGACAAATATTGTGTGGTTGACCAAATTTTTTTTTATTGAATAATAATTTCTTCATTAACACTTTCACAACCGCATGTTAGCGCAGTGAAACGTCGCCAGTAGCCGGCAATATTTTGGAAGAAAAAACTTTACGTAAATTCATGAAACAATTAACATTATTATGACGTGCTAAGAAAAGTTTTGCAAGTGGCTTGCCACTGGTACCACGTGGGAGTCACCGGCAAATAGCGACTGGCCTATCAATGGTACCACGTGAGTGTCACCGGCAAATAACGACTGGCCTACCAATGACACCACATGAGTGTCACCGGCATACAACGACTGGCCTGCCCATGACACCACATTGGTGTCAGCGGTTGTGAAAGTGTTAAGAATCATAGGAAAAATAATTCAGAATTTTTCCATTCTGATTTTTAACTAATTTTAATTTTAATTAATAATAATGAGGAATAGCGTTATATAATTCATAAGCGAATTTATTAACATTCTGTGTATACAGGGTATCCCATTTTAATTAGCGCAGTTGGATTTCTCTGGAATCCTGCGAAATATCGAAATTCTGTTTTTACGAGGTTTTATGGTATCCAGAGGGACATATTTTGATTAAAAAATTTGACCTTAGATGGAGGCGTCAAACGAAAGTAGTTTGGAGGTCAAATTCATTTACAAGATACATTTAAAAATATTTTCATTTTACCTGGAATTTTTAACAAATTGCCTGGAAATGAATCAAAGAATTCTCAGGGAAATTTTTCGCGTTCGAGCAGACGCTAATATAAATATAATGCCTGGCCATTGTAATAGAAAAATGTAAGAAGATATAACCGTACATCAACGAATTCGCCAGTTTTATACGATTGCTACTGATGTTTGTTTAACAAATCACTATTCACTGCACACTATATTCTACATTTTTTATGTAATAATGTAAAACAAACTTAATCGGTTCATGTGAACATGGGATGAAAAATTATCGCTGTTACACATACGCGACATCGATCTCTCATGAGAATCGCTCCGTTGCACGTGTGTGACGCGTAGTACCGAACATGTTAATTTATATGATATATGAATTTTATATAGTAATCTATTTCCTCCGTAAAAAAATGTCGTTATTATATAATTAACGATATAATCGAAAAGAACTCGATAAACTGATCACGTATATTCATTTTTACACGTTACAGATAGTGATAAGGATTTTCGAAATAAAGGCCTACAAGATGCGGATAAAAGTGGCAAAGAAAGGGTAAGAGAAATTCATTTGAAGCAATAGTGAAAGTACTACCATTCGGAATCACAAAAGTGAACGTTTCATTCGAACTTAGATTCTTGATCTGACACGAATGAACGTTTCAATCGATTAGACCGCATTTGTTCCAATAATAGTGAAATACGCTACTGGCATAATATTAGGTCATTAAATATGAAATGTCCGATTTTGAATGAAAAGTTTGGTTCAAAGGATTCATGGTTGAATAATCTTTTATTAGAAATCGCTCATATTTGCACGTTGTAAAAGAATTAGCTCTCACAGCTAAAAACTAGTTCGCACAGATAAATTAGCTGCCCATATGATATAACTGAATCTTAGTTAAACTAACAAGCAGATCTGGTAACTAAATTTCAGTTGTATTATAGTGACGACTAATTCCTTTTTTTTTTCGGACTAAAACGTCACATTTCCTTGTTTACACACCGGAAAAAAATCCTGGCCGCACACTGTGTGGTAAGCAACGATATTAATGCAATTATCGGAAAGCGGATACATCCTGTATATGAGAGAAATGTCATTCGATTTTGAGTAACTATCATTCTAAGTCACTCTAAGTTTTTACTTTTCAACCTTTGGAATTTCATTAGGAAAAATTTTGAAATACTTCTATTTTTATACCGTATTAATATAATTATTATAAAATACTTTGGTCAAAAGGCTACGATAATATATGATTGCGAAGTATTGGTGTTTGACGATAATAATGTCACTGTAATTTCAGTGTTTAAATATCCAAGAGTTGTTGCGAATTGTCGCTCAGGACTCTACTATCAGTGATAACATCACAATATTGCCCGGCTGGCTTTTCGAGCGTGTGTGTCCAGCTCTCGTGCATCAATTGGCGGCCGAATCCAGCTCGGAGAGAAACGGCTGCATACGAGTGTTTCAAAATTACAAGTCCGATAATCATGAACAGGTGACGGTCGATAAATTTTACACCACAGAGGACTCAACGCGCAATACCATGCAAGGTACGAGTAATTAATTTTGTCCCAAAGGACAGCGATAACCTTTTCAAAAAGAAAAAAAGGAAAATCTGTACCAATCGTTACTTTCACTGATTTCAGTCTGGCTCTATTCTACAATTAGTATTGTCATAATTAGTCTTAGCGGGCTCCTCGGCGTAGCGGTAATTCCAATTATGGGAAAGACCTATTACAATCATGTGCTACAGTTTCTAGTCGCCCTGGCCGTAGGTACTTTAACCGGTGATGCCTTTATCCATCTGTTGCCACATGTAAGTTTTTTGTTTTCTTTAGGGAAAATCTTGCTCCTTCGCGAATCGGAGAAACATTTTAACGTGTGTGTGATTATTTCTTTTACGCATCCAGGCGATGATGTCGCCTCATCATCACGAACACGATGAGCATCATGAGCACGAAGACGAGCACCATCATAGGAGCAACTCGCTATTAATCGATTATGAGGCGCAGCATAACGTGAACATGTGGAAAGGACTAGTCGCGATGATGGGTTTTGTGCTGTTCTTCTTCACCGAGAAAGCATTAACAATGTTGGCCGAGTGGCGAAAACATCGGCAACGTCGTAACAAGGTGAGCAAAGAACCACGCGTAATACTCGCCGTGATGACGCTTTAAATTGACGAGGCAAAACCGTAGCTGCCTACACGAGTGCGAGTAATGAGGGAAAGCGATGGTCCAAACAGCAACGTTGTCGGCGAGAAGCTATGCAAACACAAATATTCGTCGTATCCGTACTGCTATGGCGAGATCGCCAATGAGACTCAAGGTAACACTCTCTTTATGCGCCGGTTAATGGTCGTGTTTTACGCCGGTTGTCCAATTTTACAAATGTGCTGAATTGATCACAAATGTCATTCTGTGGATACATCTTCATATTGGAAAGTAACGCAAAAAATCTTGGCATATGTCTTCTCGCTTGTGACGTCATTAAAACAAGGACAGTCGACTACTCCGAAATCTTAAGGCTCGGCTATCTCTAACAACCATATTGACTGTATGATGTCAGAGAAAAAAATAAACAATAATGGTTTTCAGCCAATCTCAACTGTCACGGTTGTATGAGAAATGTATCGTTATTTTTGGAATGATTTTGCAATTCTACGTGATATATATATATATATATATATTCCTAAAAAAACATAATTTTGTAAACCTGTAAAATATGCAGCAAACTGAGATATCTGTCCTCTATATATATATATATATATATAAGAGGTAGCCTTAAATTATCTTTATTGCGATATACGTGTATCAAATTATCTGTATAAATGAGCCCAATCATCCCAAAATAATGACATTTATTATCATCGCTTATAGACGAACGTTTATGAATTGTCACATTCTAAAAAAAACATAAATCTGGGTTACTTCAGTGTCTCATTTTTTTTTCTTTCCAATAGCGCGATAAAAATTCCAACATAATCAATATAGAAATGTATTTAGATAACCACCATAATCGTCAAATTAATCATCACGAGAGGCCTCCTATTATCGAGGAGGAGAAACCATTGACGTCCAACTGTAATTCCGCCACTAAAATCGTAACCAGCGATACAGAGAAGAAGCCAAAAGAGGATTGGAGATTGGACGACTCAATTGTAAATAATTCTAAGAAGAATGCGGACGGCGCCGATGTATCGCTAAACGAATCGGAAAGCTACACAGTCATCATACGCGAGCATGAAACCAAGCATCACGGACACAGTCACTCGCATGGTTCGTCTTGCAAATGTTTTTCAGCCCCAATAAGTTGTGACTTTTGTGTTTGTTAGATAAAGCAGCAGGATTGGGGAGCAAACGGCATTACAAAAAACGCGTTATCTGTAACGCCAATGTTGGTATAAATTACTTTTTCTCTCTTGACCACTTAGTGTTAATAATTCTCATCGTTAGTAACGATAACGATACATTTCTTCGATTAACAGTAACGAATATAATCGTTATTTGTATCATTACTTTGCACATGTACGTACAGATAGGAGCGAATCGAAGGATCCTCTAGAGGACGGGAAGCCGATTTATCGGCTTTTAATTTCCACTGAATTTAATATAATCAATGTTTCTTATTTTATCGTCTGAAAGAATGGAACTTCCTTATTTTAATTTTTCAGATTGCTAATTTTGCTACTACTTATTGATTGTTCGAGTGAAAGAAAAGTGTTTGTCCAATTTTACAAGTTTATTGATCACAAATGTCATTTTGTGGATATATTTTTTTATTTGAAAGTATAACGCAAAAAATTTTTGCATGCGTTTTCTCGATTCTGACATCATTAAACAAAGACGACTACTCCGGAACCTTAAAACTTGGTGGAAAAAATTAATGAAAATTGTAACAACTTGAAATTTCTTGAGTAACGGTAACGAATTATTTTAACAAGTTAATTAAAAAATTATTTTTTTAAATATATAACGAATAATAGCAACACGAGTTACTTATAAAAACTTTCCCAAAATCCTAGTCTCTGAACGAATTGAATTTAGATTTTTGTTTGTCAGATATAGTATTATAGCAAAGTTCATGAAATATTAGAAATACCGTAAATGATCCCACTCGTAAACGGTGTAACTGTTTTTGTATTTCAGGACATGTACATTCTGCGCCGGAATCCATGTCTAGCGTGGCTTGGATGGTAGTAATGGGAGACGGTTTACATAATTTCACGGACGGAATGGCGATCGGTGCTGCTTTCTCAGCTAACATCGCGGGTGGATTTTCAACCGCTATCGCAGTCTTTTGTCACGAGTTGCCTCATGAGCTTGGTAATGTTTTATAAACTATGATAGAGTACTTTTATTGCAAACATAATAACGAAACAAACAATGGAGACGTTTAATTATATTGCGTAAATGATATTGCACAGGCGATTTTGCGGTGCTGCTAAAAGCGGGAATGAGTGCCAAACAGGCAGTTTTTTATAACTTGTTGTCCTCGGTGCTCTGTTTTTTTGGCATGATAGCCGGGGTCCTGTTGGGAAGTGCTCCTGCTGCGACTAGTTGGGTATTTGCGGCTGCTGCTGGAATATTTATATACATAGCATTGGTGGATATGGTTAGTTTCTGACATCTTGTGACAACTTCCTGTGCCAACTTGAGCAATTGTAATAAAAGAGAGAAAAAAACCGCATTTACAAATATATTTTTCTAGATACCAGAGTTATCATCAAGTCATTCCGCGGAACATGGCTCACGATGGCAAAGTATCTTGCAGGGTTTAGGATTGATAACAGGCCTTGGAATTATGTTACTTATCGCACTCTACGAGCACGACCTTAAGCACATTTTCAGTGAATAGTACTTTGTAAGTAATTTCTATGTAATCATGATTGTACATTATTATCATAAAATATATATCTTTCTATTACGTTCGAGAGGGGTCGTTATATTTTCTATTTAATTTCAGTATTTAGCCGATTTTTTATATGTTTGTCATCAGCAAACAACTCGTTTCCCCGAAATAATTATGTACACATATCGTGTACAAGAGAGAACGTAATAGGAAGATCACACACTGATCGAGTCATAATTTAAATACTACGACAATATCCAATTTGGAGTTGCCGGTGAAAATATTTTTAGTATTATGGAAACATCATGAGTATTGGATCTCAAAGGGAAAAATCCAATTTTCATTATTCTGACATAATATCTATGATACAGTGGATTGATAAATGAATCACAATCTTTAATTATTTTCTGTAATTTTTCCTATAATTATCCCTTATCGTGTTAAAAATGTTGGTTTTGGCTTTCAGACTAGAGCTCCGCTTGTCAATTTGTATTAAAAATATTTCATGTGATTTTCGGTGCAAATACCATAAGTTACAGTGAGAAAATAGTATGTCATATTATATTGAAAACATATAGTATTATGAGGAAGATTTTTGAATCTAATATCTATTAATAACCATTAAGGCTCCTTCGCTGCAATTGTCCTTGTTTGATGACGTGTCGGAAGCGAGAAAACGCATGCCGAGAATTCTTGCGTTATACTTTCAAACAAAAAGATATATTTACAAAGTGGCGATCGATTTAGCACACTTATAAAATTATCTGAACACTTTTCTTTTACTCGAACGATCAATGAACAGTCGTAAAATTAACATTGACAAAATCATGAGAAAGGAAGTTGGAAAAGGAATGTCAAGTTAATTTTGTGACTATTTATTGATTGTTCGAATAAAATAAAAGTGTTCGGACAATTTTACAAGTATGTTGAATCGATCGTCATTTTGTGGGAATATTTTTTTATTTAAACGCAAGAATTCTTGGCATGTGTTTTCTCGCTTCTAACGTCATCAGATAAGAATAGTTGCAACGAGGAGCCTCAAGAAATTCAAAAATTAGCTGATTCCGAAATTTTCCTTCACGCCATGATCGTAATTCTTAATTATCGCGATACACGTAACATTTTCTGTTAATCTTATATGTTAAATGTACAACATCGGCACGATTCATATGTTTTATGTTTTACGGATGAAACATTTTATGTTGAACTGATTAACTCAAGAACGTTATGTAGACATAATATTTATCAGCTGTCTAGCATAAATAATGATATAAATGATACATGAATATATCTAATTATTATTTCTTTGTAGGAAATTTTTTGTGATAATTTTCTGTAAAACAATTTTTACTTGCGCAATAATGAACATATATTGCGGTAGATATAATCACTTGTAATTACAAGAATCTTAATATTGTCAGTGACGTTTTTGTAGTTTAATTGGGTTCATCAGGGTAAGAATGAGTTAAAAAAAATGGATTCGTTTAGAAAATGAGTGAGACAATTATATCGAATAAATGTTCACTGAACACAGTGAATACATCTTAACGGTTGTACGATTATTTTCTGATCGTCGTTGTTATTATATTTTTTCGTCTTTTAGAAAAAAAAAGGGAAGCGCGCGCACTGCAGTCTCAAAAAGGATGCCTGACAAATTTTTTTTCTCTCAGTATTGCTTAGCAAACAACGTCGTACATGACAATAGTTGACACTTACATTTGTGTAACTTTCACACAACATAAGTGCTTATTTTTTTCGCCAAATATTAACGATAATATTAATGATGATAATAATAACGATAATGATAGTAGTAATATAATTTTACGCTTTTATACATTATATAGTGAAATATTAGGAAATTAAATTCTCGTACTGTTATTCATGTTTTATTATTGTGAATATGACATGTGCATATTGGGTCAGGATGTATACATTTAAAACAAAAGAAATGATGGCATGATATTTATATTTATCCGCTGTTAATGATTTTACTTTAGTTTGACTTTTATAGAGGATAACTTGATTTTCACAAAGGTATAATTTATTTCGTAATGCACATCCACGTGTATAGCATTTTTGACCCAATGCATTTAAAATGTAACGTTGCTACAACATACTGATTTTTCAAAAAAAGATAGCTTTATTTTGCCAACTTTAATTATTTCTACTTATACGAAATTATATAAGTTCCTCGTATCGCTTACGTTTTGCTCTTATATACGCAGTATTAATATAATCAATAATAACACGTTACTTTCTACAGTACATGTAAAAATGTAAAAAGTGTTATGTTTCTATAAAATGATCGTTCGGACATAACATAAAAGTTAATCTGTGCTGCTATTATTATTAATAGAATAAGTTACATTCTGTTGGATTGAAAGACTTGGGTGAATTTTTAATGTTAAAAATAAATGAATCATTTTTATTGTAAAAATAGCCTACACTGTTCCTTGCGTGGTGAGAATGATGGAGAACCTATTGCATGCAGATTTATCGTTCTTTTTTATTTAAATATAAATATAAATAACGGTAAAATTGTGTAAAAATATGTTCATTCTTTGAAATTAAATCAGTAAAATTATTTTTATCTAAATTTCCTTCGCGAATATAATAATAAATCGTATTTTTCTTTACTTTTATTGGTTCTTGTTTTCCCTTAACAAGTTCCGACTCATTCCAGAGACCAGACTAGTATTTGTTCTGACACGACCCACACACACATACGACAGGCAAGGGGACTCACTTTAATGAAGTACTCCGAAGATTCGACGCACACGAAAAACGATAGGCCGGACATATAGAAAGAAAAAAAGACTCGTCCAAAGCTACGAGAAATAGGGACGCGGAGAGACACAGAGATTCCGCGGAGGAAGGCGGCGGACTACGATTCGTCACGATCGCGCGCCGGTAGAAGACATCTTTCTTTCTATATGTTTGGCCTATCGTTTCTCGTGCGCTCATTAGCTCAGACAGAATAATTAATTTCTCGTTAGTTATTACAAATTTTGCATAATGATGTCTACCTTTTTTATCAATTTAACTCCTTCTATCTGCTCACGAACGGATGTACGAAACATATCCTGTATATAGTAGAAAGAAGCGCGAGCAACGCGGTAAGGCTCGTTGCCGGCTTGATCAGAAAAACTGGACAGAAAATAGCATCTCTCTTTTTTTATATTATCCAAAGCTAATCGTGGAGTGCACACGTACGCGATTTTTGGTTATGTGCGTTATCCCCTCCACTACAATTTTTATGTAGCAAAATCTGCTTTCTGGCATCCCTGATTCTGGGCATGCATTTTCTCCTTTCTGATATCATCAAACAAACGACTGCAGCAAGGTATTTTAAGAAAAATTTCCAATTATATAATTATTTATATACAGTCTATTCTTCAGCTTATATTCAGATATTAACAATTACGTCGATACTGAATAAACAATTTCATATAATACAACGAGCAGTGTTGTAAACGAAAATTAATTTTATCGTTCGCACGCGTATCTCCATACGCGTTTATATGTTTTTAAAAGAGTATGATTACTTTTATTTGATATTGTTGTAAAATGAAAAGAAATTTTTCGTTTCACTTTGATCGACACTTTAATGGACCAAGCAATTACATGATAACCAAAAAAAATACTATTCTATTCAGAAGATTACAGCAGAATATTTTGTCATACGGTAATGAATTCGTCTCGATCGCTCATTTGCGCTGACAAACTGAATGCCGTGTCTGTACTAGTTTCACTGTTTAAGCTCTCATTGAATGCTGGTTTCACGTGAGTTGAGTCATTCATCTCTCTCATCAGACCCGCCATATCATCGTCTGGATCAATGTCCTGCGCCACGCCCACGACATCAATCTCCATAGACTGACTGTCGGTCATAGATGTTTCTTGTGCTGTGGGTTTCTGTTCCTCAAACTATAATGAGCGAATTATGATATAACCAGGGAGATAGAAGAATCAAGAGATTTTGAATATACAAGGTGTTCCGTAAGTCAATCATTCAGGAAGTGATGGGGGACCCAAAAACTTGGAAAAAAGTTGATTTTTATTTGACTTTAGTTATGTTATAAAACTCATACTAGCCATCCTTTTTTTTTAATTTTCATAAAAAAAATTCTAAACAGCAATTTCAAGTTACAAAATGAAAGTGACGATAACTCGAAAAAAAAAAAAACACATTTTCGGACGTATGTTCATATCAACTTTTTTCCTTGTTTTTAAGTTCCCCATCGCTTCAGGAGCAATTGACTTACGGACCACCCTGTATATGTGTATATATTCATGTATTCAGTATCCTTAATTCGGTACTTTAGAACCGATTATATTTTTCTTACAATGCATTGATTTAATTTTAATTTTATAAATATATAATAGATATTTATAAAATGATTCTTTTTGACAGAATCGTGAACGACTAATAGCGTATTCGATTTACTGACTCAGACCGATTTGACTTAACTCGAGCAATGTTCCGATAATTGCTGCCAGTATTGAAATCTGTAGTATATGTAACATGAATTATAGATTTCAATATTAGCAAGATTATCGCTATCCAAGTTAAGCCGAGTCGAGTCAGTAAATCGCTATAAAATGTTTAGGTTACAACGAATAGTGTCGGTGAGAGTGTCTACGTACTTTCATAGGTTCCAATTTGCACGGCGACGGCAAATTCATGTGAAAAACACAATTCGAATCGAAGATTACAGGCACAGGTTCGTGGCATTCTATGTCCGCTCGTACTGCTCCGCATGCTTTGAATAAAACCTGATGTTGGTCCTGTAATTACCGAGAAATTATTTCACTCTCCTGACGTCATAAAATAAGATGGGTTGCAGCGAAGGCACAGGAACTTTAAAGTTCACAATTTAAAATATTAACTGAGTTAAAAGTTATTAACTTTCTAACCCAACTTTTAATTGATTAATTAGTTATTACGGAACTGATTTTTAAGAACGCAACTCTACGATAATATTTATGTATGCTTTTATTCTTTTATGCTTTGATTCTTATAAAAATAGTGTATATATACTTTTCACTTCAATCAGCGACTTTTACTCAACTTATATTTTTAAATAAAATTTTACTGTAAAAAAATTAAGAGAGTAGAATATATGTGCATGGAATATGTGATAACGAATCGTAAAAAAAAAATAGTCTTAAAAATTCTGTGAAATGCACAACAAAAATTATAATTTGTTATTACTTGAATAAAGATAACAGTAACGAATTCTTCTTCAAAATAAATAAAGGCAACGCTGAGATATTTCTTCATAGGATAGCGAATATCGCTAACGAGTTTATATAAAAAGTAACTTTCGTATTGTCTCACTTCTAATGTTATTAATCATAATGACGAGAAAACAGTAAGAGTTAAAAAATTATATTTAAGAGAAACAAGAATTATATTTGAAGTCTCTTGAAATCCTACCTTAACGCTTTATATATGTACCTTTAGAATATGTTTGCGGCAATGTTTAGCCGACGGAAGAGTTCTCTCGCCGCATTTCACACCACCTTCGGTGAATATACATTTGGACACATTTGGTGGTTTCTGAGCAGGTCCTTCGGTTACCTGAAAAAAATGTAATTTGTTCTGTTATATTTATATATATATATTATTAAGATATTAATGATATCACCAACACTCGCATTTATAACGGTATTACTTGCGCGCGACGTTCCAATGATTTCCTATAAAGTATAGCCTCGACGCCGCTCCGTCTGTGATAACGATTTAAAGCCTTTAGCTTCTCATAAATCTTTTTCTCTTTCGCCGTTTCTCTTGCCTGATCATGTATGCTACCTGCATATTATGTGTAATTTATTTACAACGACAAGTTAACTGACATTCAATTTTAATTATTTAATCTTTTGAAGCACACATTTTTTTCCTGCTTATTTTTCATCAAATTTGGTACATGGGGAGTTTTGAAGTCGCTGATCACGAACTTGAGATCAAAATTCAAAAATTATTTTAAATCTAAGATGGCGAGTCCAATGTAGAGGACCAAAATTGCAGCGAACCAAATAACTTAATAAATTAACCAAATAAATAACTTCAAATTTGGTATAAGCAAGATTTTGTCTATGCTATAGATTATATCATTTCAATATCTCCAATTCGTTTTCGTAATATCACATTTCATAATTTAATAATACTCGGAAACTTTAAAAGCCATAGACACAGAGTTGTTGCATATTTGATTAACACTATTTTGTATTCAACATTTAGAATTTTGTAATTTTTCAATTTCGGCCCCAGATTTGTAATCAGCGACCCAAGAACCTATATACCGCATTTGAAGAGAATTATTTGATTTGTTGCAATTTCAGTTTATTTATTAAATCGTCATATTAGACCGTCATTTTGAATCTTGAAAATCTCATTCTGAAATCAGATTCATGATCAGCGACCCGAAAATTCCCTGGAGACCACATTTGAAAAGAATTGCTTGGTTTTCTGCAATTTCGGTCCGCCATGTTAGACCGTCATCTTTGATTTTGGAAATCTTCTAATTTTAACACTAGATTGGTAATCAGCGACCTCAAAATACCCTATATATAAGTTTTAACACTCAAATTTTAGAAAAGTTGTTGGAAAATGTATTTCTCTGAAAAACAAGCATTTTTCTTAATTTGGTTATTTATAACATTTTTGCAACAAAATGTGTATTTTGATGATTTTTTTATATTCATCTACCCCTAAGATACCAGAAGAAAAGAAAAACAGTCCAAATAGCAATGAATTCATATAGCAGTAAAAATTTTATCAATAAAAATCTGAAAAAAAAAGATAGGAAATATACTTTCCACCGTGCTTCCAAAGGGTTAAGTTATACGATGAAATATACTTGCATAATGTTTCCTTTTCTTTTTTTAGAGCAAGCAGATATTTCCGTCTCTTTTCCTTCAATATATATTGCAATCTTCTAAATTGATCAATGTAAAGAGACTGAAGTTTAATTAGTTTTTCCCTCGCGATATAAATGACTTCCTCCGCGGTAAATATCCCGGCGTGCCTTAAAAAATTAATACTAATCATTCAGGGAGTAAAAACCGCTCTATGTTCGCGCAAAGCAACTACAACGGAATTATATTGAAACAAACACGTATATTTCTCATAATAAAGTAAGAGAGTAGTGAACGTGTGTATAAATTTAATCGTACAGTGTTATGTGTACTAAATACAAACCTGCGATCCGAATATCAAAAGAACAAAAGAAAAAAATGAGTACAAATTTATAAAAATATATATTAATTTATAAGAAAAATAAATAAAATAAATATTAATTATAAGTATAAAACTATGACTCGAGATAAGTAATAACGATAAAGAAGAATGATCATCATGTAACAGGGAAACTGCACAAGCCAAAGCATGCTAGCAGATATTCTAATATGACGTAACGATAAATACATTTAACAATAGATACATTCAAGTAGAATACATTGATATTCAGGAGAACGCTTACTTCAAGGGATCTTCCTGCGGACTATGCAAATTTTCGTTATCACTGTCGTCAAGATAAACCCCTTTCAGTGTATCATTAACGACTGTGGGTTCAACGTCGCTCTCTGACGAACTGGCATAATCTAAGATGTCGCATCCACTTGCATTTATTCTGTAAGCATCAACTTCGGCTGAAAACAATAACTTGTTGATCTCATATGTTTGAGTCAGTGACAACGTCGATTGTCAAATATCTGGTAATATTGCACCGAGTTATGAGAGATGCGATGTATATAATATGTGCATTATCATATAAGTAGCTCTGAAGGTAACCACGTTCCGTTTTGATTAGTTTATTCTAAACGTTTTGTCACTCTCGGAACTATGTATATTCGGTTGTTTCTTATTCTCCAAAAACTATTAGACGTCACTGTCAACTCGGACTTTCTGCGGCGAGGTAGCCGAGCCTCAAAAAAGTTTTATCAAAGCCAAACTTTAACACTCGTCTTCAACATCTTTATTAAATAACTTTGTTTATGAAAAATAAACGAAAAACTGAAACAACAGACATAAAGCAGCGGAAGGGCGATTATACCGCTAGATATTTTTCAAGCATATTCTGCGACCATCCATAACACTGAAACGGTCAAGATTGACAGTTCAAAAAAAGAATACTATATGTAGATCTTCGTATAATTTCCCTATGGAATGAAAAAGGTACAAAGATCCGATTCAGAATGGTCTTTTAGCATAGAATGCCTTTTTTTGGTAGTTTCGAAAAAGTTCGAAAAAGTCGTATACACCTTTACCATGCATTTTCTCAGTACGTGCCAGGAAAGGACTTCAGACAGATTTAACGGAACTTTCTGAGTAACATTCAAGCAATAAATCTTACGACTGTCGCAATTCTTTACTAAACACAGCTGGTCATGAACCAAGTATAAATGAAACATGGATAAGTGAATAAAGGCTACAGGTATAATACTTACTGAAAGGGTCTAGCGCTTTCACTTTCCCTCCTTCTTCTTCTGTATCTTCGGCACTGGAATCTGTAGGTTTCACATAGTGACTTAAGTTGAGCAGCAACATTTCTGGTGTTTGCGGCAGGGAACGTCGTGATGTCGATTTGATGCGCGAAATTTGAGCCTTTCTAGAATGTTCACTGCAATATCTGTATGAATGAAACGAGTGAACATTTAATAGACTTTTCCATAGCAACGAATTCCAAATCTGTCTGCCTCCATGAAGTATACCGATACATACGAGATATCTCTCCTGTCCAATTTTGGAGCTGGATTTTGACACTTTCTCCCATTGGTATTGTACACAAAAGTGCATTGTTTATAAGGTGCACTGGGATCTTCAAGGATATGCTTGGAACAATAAGAATAATCTTCCAGGCATGGCTGCATGCATTCATACGATGTATACGAGCAATTTTGAACCTGTTTAGGCCGTTTTGCCATTGTTGTAGCAGCGGTACAAGGCATTGTAGATTTAGGTATCCGGAACATTCCTAGCCTATGTTAATATAAATCAAATTATCAAATCGATTATTGCTATTAGCAATATCGCATATCCACTTTTTCAGTGGAATAAAGCATTACACTAAAAGTAACGGATTGTCTACATTGGAAGTAAGCAGTAATAATTAAAGGGCATCTACATTGGAAATAAGCAGTATTAAATATGGAATAGAATATTAGTTGATAGTAAAGCAGTATGAAGTAAGAAATGGGAATGATCGGTTACTCCTAGTGTTATACTTTATTCCACTGAAAAAACTCTCTTATTTCGCAGTGTTACTACCTCCAATGTAGACAATCCTTAAGTAAAATGGATCATTTCCGTATTCCTTACTGCCTTAATATAAATCAATATTCTATTCCTTACTTATTACTGCTTATTTCTAATATAGATGACCTTTATTTATTACCACTTAATTCCAATGTAGATGGTCTTTAATAAAAATAAAAAGGTAAAATATAGAAAAAAGAATTCAGCTTACTTAGAATTACAATTACAAATTACTTTGATCAGACGTCAACAACAAGAGACAAGACATTCATATGTATCATTCTTATAAAATTCTATAGATAGTTAAATATATAATATGCCTGAGTTTATATATAGGTAGATATCATGAAACATCTGTATCCAAGTAACAAGAAAAAAGAAAAGGAGGAAAAAAGTATGCGTAGAAAATGATAAATGTGAAGTCTCTCTCAATAATAGGAGAATTATCTTTGCTTAATCCTTGGTAGTATCTTTTTATAATTCATAAATTTGGACATTATAAACTATTAATTATCGTATTATCTTGCATATGTAGATAATACAAACGTGCGTTTGACAAGAATATCACCCACGAAAAGATGGCACATATACTATCCGCCATACTATTCAAATGAAAGTTATTTACAATGTAAATACGTTGTATACATATGCATACATTGGAATTTATTAAAATTGTTTGGATTGATACTTTACCTATGAGACAGGACACTAAATAACGATTAACCATTATGATCATTCGGTTACGACGGAGCGATGACATAAACAGAACATACCTCGGTTACAATACGTAGAGGAACGCCCTTAGAAGAATGGCTGCGTTCAGAAAACGATCAGTGAACGGTCAATGATTATTGGCTGCGTTCAGAAAATACAAGCGATTAGTGAGCGTTCAGTGACTACGTTTACGTGGCAATTAATTCGGTTTAGTAACAACTATAGTTAGTAAATTCTTGCATCTGATTGGTATAAATTTTTAGAATTAAAAATATATTCCAATTAAATGCAAAATTCGCTAATAACTTCTGCCCACAGGACGCGGAAACGCGTGCCGCGCGGCGGAAGTTCGCATGGTAGTCAATAAACTTCTAGTCCTTATCGAAAAACTACATGTTGATTGGCTACCACCGGAAAGAAATTGAACAATCATAATTTACTTTTCTTATATAATTCGTTTGTGATTGGCCAATTTCTTAAGGCTTAGAGCTTAAAGCATCTATTGTACACAGGGACTAAGAAGTCACATTTAAGGCATTTTTATCGATAAAAGGAAGTTTGGAATATGGTCCGAGCATTTGTTCATGTACAGATCTTTCTACGTTTTTTTCCTTTTCTGCTATTATTAATAGCAAGAGAAGAATATTAATATTTCTTTGTTTAATAATATTTCATTTTTTTCTTTAATATGTCGTTTTTATGTTTGTAAATGTATGTTGTGAATACTCAACCCAGATCGCAATCATAGTTCGATTGGACGATCCTCAATCTTCAATCCATAATCCCAATTCCTAATCCATAATCTGATATGAGCTTAACGCATTGTATTTAATGTTAGCAAATGTATAACAAACATGTAACACGTATTAATTTGTTCAAAATGCTTAGTCATATTTGATTATTTGGGTATATTTGGCTACCTGGGAAGGATCGTCATAATCGTAGAGGTTAAGCGAGAGTGACCGCATACTAGAAATGGATGCGCTCAAGATCAAATCCACACAGGGATGCGGACGAAACATATAAAATGAGAAATAGTGTTTCAGCTGTGTTCGATTTCTGTTGCGTTTGCCTTCAAAAGCTGTTACTGCAGATTGTATTCAATATTTGCCACTTTTTTGTCATCGCGTCATGACGGCAAGCCGATTTGTGCTGCTGTTATATCACGATATGTTCAAATTTTGCCGCATTTCTGCTGTCGCATCATGACGATACGATATGTTCGAATCTTGCTGCACGTTAACTTAGAAAGGTGGAATTAAAAAATTTCAAATTAGCAATACTAGTAGTTACCATTCTTTGTAATTAGCGACAGTGTCGTAACATAGACAGGCTTTATGAACTCTACTTTTAGAATTTGTGAATAACAATATCCGACTATGACGGAGGTTTATCACAAACATGGCTATATATGACGCAGAACAAGCGAATTCCTCAAGTTCACGGTTTTCCCATTTTTATTGCAACGAATGTACACTTGTATACGTTCTGTATATAACTTAGTACAGTCGCTGTGGTGGTCCCATAGATGATTTTATGTGCAGCGAACGCACGTTTTGCCAGTGTTTCTTCAGCAAAGAAACAAGGAAATTTATTGAGAGGTGCACATTCTGCACCAATTCATCGGGCGTCATCTCAACGTGTCCGACTGCCACTGATAGACACAATACCTGCAAAACAATGTGAATTGTTAACAAAAATCGCTATTCTCGTTAAATAGAAAATTTACAATGGAATCTTACTACGTACTTTTTTCATTTGAAATTTGATGGTAGCCTTAACTTCGTCGATCTTGCCTACCATCGATTCTTGATGTGACAATAGTCCAGGGAATTTACCAGCCTTGTTTAAACCAGGACCGAGCAGACGGGGAATCTGTTTGATCAATGACTCGCTGGCCAGAAACGCGTCGTATTTCTTTGCTGTAAAAAAGATATATATTAGTTAACGATAATTTCAATTACACACTATTTTGATTATTTTTTGATGGTTAAATCCCTTTCAGCTTCTGTCTTAATAAATCTTCTTATGAAACATCTACATGTAAAAAGAACTTACATATATAAAGAAATAAATAAATGTAATAGTTCTATTAAAATGACATTTTTTTAATAGATAAGTGTATCAACACGGATTGAGGTGCAAATGTTACAATTCGCATTGCCCTCACCAAGTGGAGACTGTTTACTTTTGTTTCGCTTGACAACCATAATTGTTCTCAAAATATGCAATGATGGTGCTTTTGAGAAGGGATAAATTGTTAAATATCAAAATGAACAAGCAACTTACCGAGTTTCTTTACAAGTTTTTTATTTTTATTCAGTTTTTTTAGTGCCTCTGCATCCATATATGGAATATTATTGGCTTTAGCTTCGTCGCAATGTTGTTGATCGCCAAGAACACAAACCTGCATCTTGGGCCTAGGAATATTCTTCAACCTAATTTAATAATTTGGCAATGATTAAATTCTAAATAAACATTACCTCTGTTAGCACAAAACATTTATGTAATATTCATTTACGAAAACTAATTTTCTTCCTGTATCTATAAACCCAATGTTCTCAGTATTAAATGTATTGCCATATAAAATATATATTCGTATAATATATGCAATAAATGAAACATAATAGAATACTGGTGCTAGATGAATGATATCATACGTGTTTCGCCAATCTGTCCTTGTATATTAAAAAATTTGAAGTGTATAGTTAAAAAAAGTTTTTTCACTTTTCCACATCAAAAAATGCATGGGGGCAAAAGAAAAAGTTTTACATTTTTTACGAACAAAAAAGGGAGAATTGAAAAAATACGGTTTTCCCAAGCTTTTGAATCTATATTAAAATGTTCCTCAAGTACAATAATTGGATATACACAATTGTGACCTACAAAATTTGCATATGCATAACTTACCAATAGGATCATGAGCCATGATCCTATGGAATTTTAATAACGGTATAAATACCTCCCCAATTTATTTAAGACCCTGGGTACAGGTCCGCTAGGTAAAACCAAGCTTCCTGACACATCATAAAGCATTTTTAGGAATTCTCAGTGAAAAACACAACCTATGCAGTGTTCTCACTGAAAAACCAAAAAAGCCTTAAAGTCAGGTAAAAACGTACTTTACAGTGCCAGAAAAACGCTTGTCCTTCTGTGGATCATAGTTTTTCAATCCGATCTGAAGTTCCACCGTCTCTAAAAACTTCTTTTTCTTGTCTTGAGAATGTTGAATTACCGCATTTACACACTCGTACAAGGTATCGCGGGAAACCTTGGACCTGCAATCAGAACGACATAAATTAAGCATATGCAAAACTTATTTCTAGAATTTTACAATCAGTTCTAATTGATCAAATATCTAATTAAGCAAATTTCAAAACATTTAGATGATCTTAAAAAGTGTACCATAGTTGTGAAAAACGTATTGAGTTTATATTATAATGAAGAAAAATCTGTGCGACATATCAGTAAAAGAAGCTTTGATTTTAGAATTTCGTAATACACGTGCAAGTAGGTAGTCATATCATGTTCGAAAGCACTTTACGGTAAAAAATAATATGTATTTGCCAAAAGTCAAAGTTAATTTATTTCATTTATTATGAAATAGCTAAGTTTGCATGCAGGATCGTGAATACCTAATAAGATAATATACTCACGTCATTTTGCTGGATAACAAACGAGAATACGACCAAACCTCTGAACGATCGATGTAAGAAAGAAGACCACAGACATAATATACCTAGACCGAACGTTGAGAAGTGTACGTCGAAGTGGGGAGCGATTGACCACGTTGCAATTCACCGCTACCAACTACACAGTCAGCCGTGATTTGGTGTTTTTCTAATATCGGCCAATCGGTGTAGCTCGATAGAGACGTAGGACGCGTTCGAGGAGAAGCTATTTAGCGCTACCATGTCATTCTATCTTTATTACTCTTTACATGTACAATAATCTTCGCCATATTTTATGATATCCACGACGATTATAACTCGTTCCACTTACCGCCACGCTCGCGTTAATGGAACGAACCCTCAGTAATGGTAGTGAATATCGAAATGCAGCCTTAAGCCAACGGCACACGATGCTTCGTGCTGGATCGCTTGTCAGATTGGTGCATTTCCGAAAAAGTATGACGATATACCAATCAGAATGCAATATTTCCATCCAACGCGAAAACAAGCATTGTGTGTTGCTGGCTTTACTTGGATTTAACGCGAGCGCCTTTCTGAAATTATTAAGTACAGCGCTCACGCGGACCAATAAACGGGCATCCCGCCTTGAGGAGAGCCACTTTATATGCGTGCTGAACACCTCCGCGAATAAGACGACGAACGCGATTGGTCATGCTGTCAGCGTCGGTTCGAAACAGTCACGATGCCGGCCAACGGGCACGACGCGCGCTACGTAACGGATTGTTGCGACCGTCCCGCCATATTGTGTATGCAGCGCGGGTCAGTGGCGCGTGTATATGGGTGTTTTGTGAAGATCCTCTCTATCACGGAAAGCCACGGAGTTGCATGAATCTGTCTGACTAACGGGCTGTGTTACGTGCTCACCATGGATCCAGCTAAGCTGAAAGTGGTGGAACTACGAGCGGCACTAGCAGAACGCGGTCTCGACGTCAAGGGCAACAAGCCAGTGCTCGTCGAAAGGCTACGCAAAGCGTTGGAGGAGGAAAACCAGGAGCGTAAGTCGTACCTGTCACGCACCAACAAGTATGCCGCGTCTTCACATTGATACTTTGCGATCACGCGTGTTAATTGACGGGCTTACAGAATCGATCTCGATATTACATGATGCGACCATTTATCTGGTAACTATTCCGTTACATTTCACCACCACACGCAGACACTTCATAACGTCATGAAACGTAGCTCGTTATTGAGTGTTACAAAGATTTTGGTGTTATTGTGTTGGGGCTGTTCTTATGCTCAGATATAGTTTAACATGGTATTATGTGTTGTTTTTAGTTTTTATGTTCAACTATAAAATTTTAATCTCAAAATCTATTGTTTATTTTTCTTTATCTTCTATCTGTTATACTATGTGTTATTAATGCATTACTGGCTACTAATAATAAAACAAGAATTAAACATACATTATAAGTATGTATTTGAGATAATATATAGTATGAGATGTTATATAAAGTAAAATTCAAATATACTGATATGTATATATTTCTCACAGATGTTCAAGATAAATTAGATTTGCACACAGAAGATATAAATGAAACAGTGTTGAAGGAAGCACCTGAAAGAGTCGTGGAATCTACAAGGTCTTCACAGCCTCCGAGAACACCTAGTAGAGCATCTAGGAGTTCTACGATGGTGACTCCGACAAAAGTTTCTACTAGAAATGCATCGAGGACTGCTACAACTTTGAATTCTTCAAAGCAATCCTCTCCGAACAAACCTCAGTACACTGAGAAGAGACACGAGGTATTAGCAACAATATCAGAGTCTACCTCCGAGGAACCTTTAGTACAACAAGAGGAAATATCAAAATTATCTCCTGAGAAGTACAGAGAAGAACAAAAAGACATCGCATCAAATATTGTTCAAGACAAGATTCATATTCAGACGCCATCTGAGAAACCTCAAAGGAAAGAAATAAAACGTGTTGATGTTTTAGAAGGTGATAAGTGTGAGGCAAATGTTTCCCAAGTACCTGCAATAGAACCGTCTGAGAAATCTAGTACAATTGAACATGTAGATCAGTTTTCTAGAACTCGGAAAGAGCATGAAGCAGAGGAACTTTGTATAGATAAGTTTAGCGAAGTTCAGCAATCATTACCAAGAGCATTGGTTGATGAAACGAAAGATGCTAAAAAAATAGATGAAAAGAGAGACATTAAGGATATAGATATTGATAAAGTGCAAGATGATAATTTTAAAAAAGATATTGAAAAGAAAAATTTAATTCAGAAAGAGAATATTGAACATGTAGAGGATACGTGTAATGTTAAGGATAATGTAGACATTCCGGAAGTTGAACGGCCAACACATGATACTTCTGATCAGATTGACAGAACATGTGATGTCGGGTTAAAGGACGAAAAACAAACTATTAATGACCATCTTACAGCACAAGAAAACAAAATAGATGTTTCGGATAATATAAAAGACATAGATGAGAAAATAGACAATTCTAATAATCCGCAAAACGAGCAGGTATGTAATTTGCCTATGTATGTAATGACTTCTACTTATAAGGTGCGGAAATGCTTGTCGCGCGGCAAGAAATGACGCGGAAGCCAATAAATAAATTATTCTCCTAGAAAAACAGCACATTGATTGGCTACCGCGTCGCTTCTTGCCGCGTCCTGTGGGCAGAAGCCATAAAACAATATATTCTTATATAGATGAATATATATATATATATATATATAAGAATAATTATAAACCAAGTCCTTTCTTGGCATGTAAGCTGAATAAATAAATAAATGTGTGTGTGTGTGTGTGTGTGCGAGCGCGCGCGCGCATAATGTATAT